GAGGGACAGGATGGAATTGTGGGGAGAGGGGGCAGTAGCTGGTTAGAGAATTCACAGGGCTCCAACTACAGTGACAAACCACTCCAATGGTGGGGAGCCGCTGAGCCGTAGCCCTCGGCTTACGGTCATGTGGGACCTGGGGACAGAGAAGACAGTAATGGAAGCAGTTGTTATAGAAAGACTTGAATCACATTTTTTGAGAGAAATAACATGCACAAAAATCTCACCAAAGTTTACATACACATCAGGGCTGGTGAAAAATTTTATATTTTAATGTTGTCAGAAACAGTTATATATTATAGATAGGTCTGTAGTGCCCTCCTACATAGGCTTTTTCCTCAGTTCTGAGAAAAAAAATTATGGAATCCTCGTGTAAATTTCCATTCCCAAAACTAACACCTGCATCAGATCAGCTCTACTCTTTAGTCTGCAGTTAAGCAAGAGCGATCACACCTTGGAGAGCGGTTGCACCAAGTGGACTGACATGACTCATGACTCCAACATGAGAGAATTGAATTGAAACAGAGGAGAGGATTATCAAACTTCTGAAAGAAGCTAAACTATCATGCAATGTTGCAAAAATATGTTGGCTGTTCCCACTCAGCTATGTCTAAAATCTGGACCAAATACAAACAAAAAAGAAATGGGAAGGCCTGTTAAAGCAAAGGCCAACACACTGGTAGACCAAGGAAGACAATCAGAGTGTCATTAGATTAGATTATGGTAGTTTCATATGTAGTCCCCTGGCTGGCCATGATGTAAAAAAAGCATTCAAGTACAATTACAAAGAATATATATGATTAGCAAGACACTACGTCCTTCATACATTTTACAATATAGATAACGAGTAATTAACGGAATATGTCAAGCAAGATGAATTGAAAACAGAAAGTGCACAACAAAACAAATGAGGAACAAATTGGACAAAACGGGATTCAATGTCTTTGACGGAACTGTACGAAAGCGCCTCAGGGAAATGGAATTCACATCCAGAAAAGCGAAACGAAAGCCACCAATAGGCTAAGGAGAAGCAATCGTGGACTTTCAATGACTGGGGTAAAGTCATATTCAGTGATGAATTGCAAATCTGCATTGGACTGGGTGATGACACAGAAACTCTTACTTGGTGCTGTTTCAAGAGATTTACGAAGACAACTGCTTTAAGAAATCATGCAAATTTCCAGTCATTGTTGACATAGAGCTGCATATAAGATACGATAAGATAAGATATCCTTTATTTGCCCCACACTGGGGAAATTTACAGCCTTCAGCAGCAAGATTGTGGGTAGAAAGAAGAGAAAAGAAAACACAGTTCAATTAAGTGCAATATAAATACAAATATGGATAAGGTCAATAAGTTCAATTAAGTGCAATATAAATACAATAGTCACAGTACTATTCACATTCACATTTGTTGTCATATCATTTAAATAATTTTATGATTTATTTATTTATTCATTTTTTATTCAGCAGCCTGACAGCAGTCGGTAGGAACGAGCGGCGGTATCTCTCCGTCTTGCAACGCGGGTGTAACAGTCTCTGACTGAAGGAGCTACCGAGTGCTGTCAGGGCGGGCTGGAGGGGGTGGGAGGGACTGTCCAACATAGCTTTTAGCTTAGCTAGCATCCTGCTGTTGCCCACCTCCTCCAGAGTGTCGAGGGAGCAGCCCAGGACAGAACTAGCCTTCCTGACTAGTCGCTCCAATCTCTTCCTGTCCCGGGCCGAGATGCTGCCTGACCAGCAGACAATGCCATAATGGATGGCCGAGGCCACCACCTATTATGGGGTAAAGGCACAGGCTGTAATGGCTGTCATTAAATCTTCAATAAATGCCCAGACTTCCCTCTCCCCAGCCAACTCTTCCAGAGGGATGGCAAGCCGTTCCCATGCCAGCCAGGAGACATAGTCTCTCCAGCGTGTCCTGGGTTGTCCCAGGGGCCTCCCGCCGTTGGGACATGCCCAGAACACCTCACCAGGGAGGTGTGCTGGAAGGCATCCTAATCAGATGCCCGAGCCACCTCATCTGGCTCCTCTTAATGTGGAGGAGTAGCGGCTCAACTCTGAGTCCCTCCCGGATGACAAAGCTTCTCACCCTACCTCTTAGGGAGTGCCTGAACACCCTACGGAGGAAACTAATTTCGGCCGCTTGTGTCTGGGATCTGGTTCTTTCGGTTACAACCCACAGCCCATAAACATAGATGAGGGTAGGAAGGTAAATTGAAAGCTTAGACTCAGCTCATTCACCACCTCGACAGACAGAGGAGAGTCTGCATCACAGCAGAGATTATATTGTTTATTTACAATCTGCAATAGCAGCAAGTGTCACCTCAAAAAAAAAAAATGTAAATAACCCTATAAGTACCGCCATAGGGCCTACATTATAATAAATGATTTAAAAATGATGCGGAGGTTTCATTCATAAAATACACTTTATTATTATATTTAGTATTTACTGTAAATATAATCCACTGCAACATTAAGCACAGTTCAACCACTGTGCATGAATGTAAGAAAATAAAAATGTACTAAGAAAATGGATGAATAAAGTAATGATTACATTTAAACCTACTGAAAATGTTGAATAAAAATCATCTCCCAATACAGTGAATTGTAGCATTTCTTTAATTAAGCAACACATGGTTAATGTCAGTAAGGGCCAGAGTGGGTCTCAAGTTCAGCCCTGGAGCATCATGAAAAAAAAAATTAAATAACTGAATTACTGTGTGCTTGCCTACAAGATCACAAAGTTTGAAATGGATCAAAATAGACCAATAGCCAAGTGTAGATAACATGGGATGAGAGAGTTAAATCTATCAAGCGCTGTGAAGTCATCAACATTTAGGCAGAAAGCACTTCCTGTTGGTGCTCTTATTTGAAACCAATTCACAACACGTCTGGTGCACAACTTAGCGGACTGACGCGGAAAGAGTTATGTTCAAGAATGTCACTATAAACACACATAATAAAATATTTTGGTGAAAACAAACAATGGCTAATCCTAGACAGGTGTTGACATGCATGTGAATTAAATTGACAGAATTTACTGGCCAAAGACGTACCAGTGAACATCTCACAATAATGTGTACAATGCAACCTTCATACCTCTGAGTGTGTAAAACCCTCCAATGCACTTGTGCAAAGCATGTGAACTAAACTTGCACAAGAACATTAAGGTAAAGCATGCAAATTACTCAATTGATAAGACAAGAATATTTCTCTTCAAGAATAAATGAGTTTGTGACCTTTGTGACAGGATTACTGTATTTTCACGACCATAAGGTGAACATAAAATGCATGGGGCACCTAATAATGCGGGTCTCCTTGTGTATGCACCGAGTTCCAAAATCTGTGAATGCTCTTGTGTGACTGAGATGACAGGCCTGCTTGACAGACTGATGTTGTGCCGACACGTTCCTTCTATAGAGGAAAGGCAGACGTAACTGAGGACATCATGCGGACATTAAAGTGGGAGGGGTGGGCGTGAAAGAGGACGCTAAAAGCACGCCCCTCCAGTAGGGGCGTGCATTTTGCAAAACAACATCCAGAAAATGGCACCGATGAAGAGACAAGCTTACGGAAACACAGTTTAAACTGCAAGTTATCAGTTATGTGGAGGAACATGGGAATCGAGCAGCTGCGAGAGAATTCAAGATCAACATCTTTAGTGCTTGTTGCTTTTGTTTTATGAAATGGCGTCATCTATCCATCTGGGCAAGGCCATGGCGCCGCAAAATCCGGCAGATTACAAGGAAAAACAGGCCTTCTTCCGCTCCTACTGCAGTAAAAAGTGCAATGTCCTGCATTACATTAAATAAATACGCTTTCTTGGACATTTAAATTTTTTATTCTGCCACTTTGCCGGCCTCACTTGGCTTTTATGACCTATTGTTCTCTCAAGTAATCCCCACATTCCTACATACCAGCTTGGGCTACAAGTGATGAGGGACAAGGCATTTTGAATTACAGTGATCTCTCACTTATCTCAGTTAATGGGGACCAGGACCGTGATATGTGAAAAACCGCTAATGAAGGTTTGGGAGGAAGCAAAGAGAGAAGCACTGCTGCTTTCGGTCAAGCCGAATCACCCCCTCCCTCGCTCTTTCTCGCATGCGTTCTCACATACACTCTCTCTCACATTCACGCTCTTGCTCTCCCCCGCCCCTGACCCCGTGCATGTAGCAAACACAACAGAAGAGACAGTATACCAGAGAGAGGCAGGCGAATGATCAGGGAGTCAACAGCGTGACGAGACACAAGGGAAGGCGCTGAGCGGGGCTGCGAAGATGCACAGCCAATCCACTCACAGGATAATTCCACTTGTGCTGTCATTGGTCAACGTCGCACCGGGAACCAATTATGCGCACAGGCATGTACACAACTTCCAAGTTATTCGGTATGTTTTTTTCTGAATACAGTACTTTGGGAAAAAAAAAACTCGATGTACTGAGGCTGCGATAAAAGAAGCGCGATACAGCAAGGGATCACGACAACAAAAAGATTTCCAACAAACACACCCAGCCCAACCACATCACCAACATGGAGGAATTGCCACTAACTTTCGACATCCCGGTGAACCACACCGTTGAGAAGGTGACCAGCACGGACGGCAGCGATATGCACAGCGAGGCGCATAAAGTTGGCTTTTACTGTTGTGCTTGGTTGGCATGTCATGGACAGAAACGGCCAAAGTGAGCTTGCGAGCAGCGTGAGAGTGATGGCAAACATATCTTTATTAAGACTGGGAGGGAACGCCGGGCAAGTTATGTCACACTTTGTGAATGGATTGTGGAGGTTTACATGTCTGCTTGCACTGTTGTTCGAGCATTTGCAAAAGCCGTCATTTTGGAGGGGCCGGACTGCAACGAGAGTGACTTTTAAGATAAGATAAGATATCCTTTATCTGTCCCACACTGGGGAAATTTACAGCCTTCAGCA